AACATGCTCATTCCTCTAAAGTTAGACGAGGATGACTACCTTCAAGGGAAACCGCAGCATAATACCACCGCCATCTGTACACCAACACCACAGATAACCACTATACATCTACTTAGAAAATTTCTCGAAACATTCAAGACCACTACTCCAACGGCGTGCGAAGGAAAACAAACCATATAGTCATTTCATTACATCCCTCTATACATACCTCTACAACTTCACACACGTGACATCACTTTACACACGTACCATATAACCCTGAAATCAATAGTAGGCAACTTAACACAGGCAGCCCACTGGGCCTGTCCCCCTAGACCGTTCTGTGAGCAAATGCAGTGCAACTTCTGTTTACAAATGGTCTCGAATCCCGAATGCTGGCCACGAATCGCTATCGCTATTACAGCTGTTTTGCTCTACATCCCTGCCATCACGGCATACATCTGTTCTAAAGTCATACGTGAAACTTTTCCGTATCCTCGCTAGCATCCGCAGACCCGCTACATCCAGTTCACTCCTCTCCATCCTCCGATGCCCACAGAGAACACGACGCACGTCCGTCAGTTACATTCCTCTCCTTCAACTCGATAAGATTAACAATACATGGAATACAAGAGCAACCATACGACTGATCGCTACCTTGACATGCCTTATTATACCGGTACATAGCTGTCAACAAACGGTACTTCTACTAACCATGGTGTCACAATGCGATCCCTCGAATAACAATTGCCATAACCAAACAACAGTCATCATTCGTCTAATCCAAATGCAACCAGATGCATGCCTCCAACTAAAATACGGCGATAAACAATTCTACTTCATGCGCATCTCCATGTACAAACTAGTTCTGAGATGCCGTAAAGAAACCTTATACTTTACACGCAATACAATTAGAAACGTTCAATACAAGAAGCGCTGCCCCCACATGGGCACCTGCTCCGGTAATAAATGCGCAAAAATCAGTTTCGACAAACTTTTCGATGTCTGTCTGTCTGTCGGTCGACAAACTCGCAGACGCAAATAACTTTACAGAACCACATATTGTTCAGAATCCTGTGGAGGCTGTTCATACGGATACCCTTCTTCCCTCTTCTGGATGCCTCTTTTATCGGATCTATCAGGACCACCAGACGATAGAATATACGAAATCTTCCAGTGCCGATCATGATTTGAAGCAATCTCCCTCGAGGTACAAATTAATTCCATACAACCCATCTCTCATACTTTCAAATTAAAGCCATATACAAGAAAACAAATGACAAACATAACCTTCAAAATCACGAGCTTTTCGTTCACACCTATACCACTTCTAATACATCGGCGCTTTCTCACTGATGAGACAACGACAGCCTACATCCGACCAGACACAGGATTTAGCTACGCGTGCAACGCTGACCCAAGAATATACCACAACCATACCAATAGGACCAATTGTGTTATAAAGGACACATGCAAATGTGACCCGGCCGAAGATTCCATTAGTTGCTATTGCACCAATAACACTATTACACAAACCACGCAGCTTTCCGAATTGCTACCCATGCCCATACCGAATGGCTTGCTCACCGCAGAGAAACACCACGATATTCCAACAATAACAACCAGTGCCAATAGACCGTAAATGACAATAAAACAAGTAAACAAAAAACTTTAAAATAAATAAAATTATGAAAATAAACCAAACATAAGTAGACCTACTTAAATTAATCTAAACCAAATTCCAGTAAATTCAATTTCAGAATGAATTAGGTTTTCACATTCACCTCACGCGCTGCTTCGATATCTTTGAGAACCATGCTAATCTGACTCCCGAACCTCCGTCACATCCAGTTCTCCCCCTTGTTCTCGCTCTCTTTCTCTCTCTCAATCTCTCCCATGATTTCGCTGAATCCCAACATAAAACCTATTGTACAAAACATTCGAAACTTCGATTGCCGTGTTCTTCCTCATAACCTTCTTGGATGTAATTGCATCAAAGGTGCTGTCGCCTAATCTTTGCGGTCCGACATCACCGCAAGCTAACTGCGCAGAATAATTCTGTGGACTGCAACAAAATTATTACGTCACTGTTGCACAACTTTACGACAAATATAAACTACGTGCTTATTATCCCTCACAGCCAAGGAATAGACGAGCAATAGATAGCTGAATGCGGTACCACGACAACACACACACACACACACAACACAACAAACACACACACATACACACACACAACAAACGCAATATTTCCAAACTTCCAAAGACAATATAAATGATTATCACATAAACGGAGATTCGACCTCTATGCACCCACATTAAGACTGTGGGGCAACACTCACGCAGCAGATTCCTCCTTCAACATTGACGTCGCTCTCCCGGACATCTCACATTTCCTTCATACCTGTAAACAGTTTCTCCTCTATAGCCTTATCCATTCTTACAATTCGTCTCAGCGCGCTCATGATCAGCTACACTCTCTTTTGCTCTCCTCCTTCACCTTGTTCTAAACGAACTTCAACCCTCAATAACATAATTTCGGTTATTCCCCCTCTCAGAATCTTACTTACTCTTCTTACACTTATCCGCTGCTTTTTCCATCTCATCATTCTTCTCGCCCGCATTCCTATACGCCTTCTCTCGCCATCTCGTTTCATCAAGCGCTGAGGTGAAGAAGACACGCGGGAAGCTGATCAACTTCTCGTCACACCCAACTACGTTTCGCAGCTTCCCCAGCAGCCCCAAACGACTATGGCTGAACGACAAGTCATCACAATACTCTCTTCTTACCGTAGTCTTTCATAATTATACTTTGTAAAAGTAGATTTCGGAACTTTTGTATTACTGTAATTTATACTTGTAATTGTGATAGTAACTATAACAACGCCACTAATTAGTAATTATGTAATTTCGTAATTTAGGCCCATCGCTGTATTTCTTAATTTTATAGTACTTTTATCTGAATATCGTATCTTGGATGCTACTAACTGAACTAAGGGAACAATCACTAAATCACATAATTACTTAAAACAAAACATGTACAAGCACTCTAACTTCCGATTAAGTGGTGGGGAGGATGCAAACGACAATTACTAGCGTTTACATGACCTCCCTCGTCGTGCAGGAGTGTCATGACCCTCAGGTCATGATAACGAGAGGCACATATATTACTCATTCTTCAACAGATTGCTAACACGTTAGTTCACTGAATCAATCAATACAAGATTCGAGCGGCGACCCCTCACAGCCCCATAGCGAGCGGCATCCATCCAATCGGGAGACACCTGTGCCGCCCACTTTTTGGGGTATAAATACCACGCTCCGGCAGTTCGAGTCAGTCTTCGCTCGCAAGGGACATGGACACCACTGATACACGCAACCCTACCACTAAGGCTTCACCAGCACACCCAATGCACAACACGTTCCCTTTGACAGCTAGGTAGCCGTAGGTATACCATTGTTGTAACGTCGTATATGCTTTGTCGTGTAATAAACACTTTGACATAAAACTGTGTTAGCGAGCAATCTGCCACGAATGTGGCCATATCCGCAGGTAACACCTTAGGTGACTGGAGACTCAATCGTGGTTTTCCCTTAGAATCAGTTAGAAATATTAGGAAAATGTAGAAAATTTGTACACAGTTAGATTCACAATGAGCACGGCTATCGACTGGTCTAATTTTCAGATCATTTCAACCACTTCTACGGAAGTTATGGCAATGCGACGGTTTGCGACGGATTAATCCGTCGCAAACCGTCGATTTTACAAAAATTAGGGGCGGTATTGTAGCTCCTTCATTCTAGCTCTCAGCTCCTTAAGCATGCTCGAGCCAGGGTGCTAGAGCAAATGACTTTGAGGGAAAGATTCGAGGGTCGGGACAGTACGGTATGCAAATTTTGTCCATATTGCAAAAGAAGAAGTACGAGGCAAGTGAGTGGTACTCATAGGAAGAGTATTACTTGTGTCATTGCGCGCATTACCGATCACACTTTTCCGAACTATGAGCAAGTACTTTGAGTGAAAAAATAGTACAGAGCCTGCTGCTGCCAACCCCTTTGTGACGATGGAAATGTTTGGTGAAATCGACCGTGAGGGACTCGTGATTTTGAAGGTTTGAAAAAAAACGATGGACTTCTGACTCGACATGATCGACCTCTCACTACCTTTAGGCGGTCTGCATTAGTTGCGACATCTACAAAATCCTGAGTGACAAGGTTAACCTGAAATACAACTCCCGTCGTAAATGTTCGAAAAAAAACGATAAAAACGTCGATCCGCGTTTTTTTGTTTTTTTTTACTATAACTTAGTTTATGTGGACTTTTCTCATATAGAAACCTACATTGTTAGATTCAGCTTGCGACGAAAAGACGAATCACGCGTCTGTCCGTTTGTATAGGGATATTAAAGGGACGGTAAAGATTGATATCACCGTATTGATATCAGATCGAGTCTTGTGTTCAGTTGGGGATAAGTTTTTTAGTTTTTCCATAGAGTAGGAAAAGGCTCATTAGCCAAATCAAAAGACCCTAGTGAAGCAAGAGCTTCATTAGGGTCTTTTGATTTGCTCTGGTGTGTCATTTTTACAGCAGCTCACAGAAAACTTGACCATTCATCTATTAAATGTTGACGCTGACGACTGCGCGAATCATGTGAACCACATAAACATAGGGAGAATAACAGCCTTATTTGATTTCTTTTGTATTTGTTTATTTGCGTAGCGTCTATGGATCCGCCCAACTTTTGCGTTACTATCGAGGAAAACCTGGTAAACGCTGCGGATAATACTTACGTTATCAATGTTTTACCTGTTGCTGGGTGTTTGAAATGCTTGTTTTTCTTTCTTTTTACATGTTGTGACGACATGTCCAATAAATAAGTAAATAAATAAATAAATGTAGGCTGTAGTAAATCAATTGCTCCAATCGCAAAGCTATCGGCTAGCAAATGCACGTCCGTGAGCTGCTGCGTCATTCGCCGCGCGACGCGCCGCGTGTGGCGGGCGCTGCCCCGGACGATTCTATTGCACATCTCCCCGGAGAACCTGAGGACACTCAATAGCGAGCGAATCTCGCTCTAGTTGTAACCAAAGGGTAGTCGTTGGAAATTAAATCATTCAGGAATCAAATAACGTACTGTATCGCGTAAGAAATGATTAGAAATCAGATAGTCGTGCTTCCCAAATGTTGCTGATCATTACCGTGCCAATTTTTTTGAAAATAGGGTGTTTTGCTCGAGATCAATTTCAGGCGATATATCTTTTTTAGTTCGAAAAACCTCGAGCATTGGTTTAGATCGGATCCACAAGAGCACAATGGGCCTGAATGTATAGAGCCTTGTTTTCCCCAATATTTGCAAAATTCAAGAATGAAGTCAAAAAGGAGGGTTTTTAGCTACATGAAATGAGCACTTCGTGCAATACTGGGGCGAATTCTCGATTCAGCTTTTTCGAACAGGATTTCCAGCGCTCTGAGTGGTCCACAAATCCCGGGACATTCCGGGCGGGAATTCTTTAGAGTACAAGATGGCGCAGCTTGTGGTCACAGCGAATATCCCTTTTCGCGGCTCAAAAGCGCTTGATAAAAGCACGACAGCTCAGCAACGATAAGCTGACTCCGCCTCCGAGGGCGGAATCAGCTACACTCAATATCCTTAATATGCGGTAGGCGTGGCTGCGTACTTGAATCGAGCGTGGCGGCGGCCAAGGTTTTCGTGAGATATTTCCATGTTGAGACAGTTGCTATCATGTCTGTGTCGCACACTGAACAGACGGTTATCTCAATTTGAAATATCCCACAATCAAACCCCGCTCTGTTCAAACGCCATACCTAAGTTCAGGGAACTCACTCAAAATTTGATTAACCCGTTCACTTTTAATCCCATAAATGAGGCCTTATTTGAGGCGTTTTCAGCGGTTTCTTTTGCTTTTTTTTCTCCAGATACGTTTCTTTTACCGCATGGCCTATTGATTATTGAGCCCCGCAACCTGCGAAAGGCGATCGCGAGCGCTGTCTTCGAAAATCTACGAAAGATCAATGTACTTTTAGACTTATCCCATATTATGAGTTCCTGTGGCTTGGTTTTGTCGTGCTCGAGGGAGCTAACATCTGCTTGCATTCAGGGTGGCTATCCGTTGCCATAGCACAGTGTCCCGTTAATATCAGCAGTTGCAAGCTCAAGCCATTTTATTCGAAGGTGGGCATGCCGCCAGCGCAAAATGACGGCAGTTCGTTTACCCCTGGAGGCGCTGCCGAACG